AAGTGAATTTATATATCAGTAAAAGAATAAGTTTTTCAAATGTTTCTTTTGAAGTCACTTTCAGGAATGGTTAAGTTTCTCAAATATTATGAAGCTTAAAGAATATGTAAATCTCTTTTGAGAGGAAACTGTGAAATAGAATAAGAATCTTTTGAAGGGTTTTGAATTATATTTTCATTTTTTTCTTTTTCTAGTATTATACTTTAGCAATTCATCATTTTTAAGAATAATCGATAGTAACAGACTATTGACAATGATCCTGGTTAACTTAGAGGTACCATGTTAAGTTACTAGATGAGTATAATATTGTTTCTTAAATCTGACTTAGAGTACCTAATTTAGACTTAGTTTTGTTTAGTCCAAATTAGCTTAGTGAACTTCTTATATTTTTTAAGTAGTATAATCCTTTAACTAATAATGTATAATGACAAGTTAGTTGCTTTGTGAAAAAGTTTATAAAATATTTTGATATCTTTCAATATCTTAATAAAAATATATCAAAGTGACATGATTGTGAATTAAAAAAAAAAAAAAATAAGTTTATATATTAGTTAAAAAATAGGTTTTTCAAATAATTTGAAACTAAAAAATATTTCATCAGATAAATCTTTTTTAAAAGAAGATTATTTTAACAATTTATAATTTTTAGAATCATCTATAGTAACAAATTGATGACAATAATTTTGATAAGTAGAAATTATTAGTATTGTTTTTAAATTTAACTTGGAATATCTAATTTAAACTTTATTTTGTATAATTTTTTAACTAATAATGTATAGCAACGAATTAATTATGATATAAAAATCAATATAAAAACATGCTATGTTAATATACTGTATGTAGTTCCAAAGAATCTTTCCTTTATTATAGTACCAATACTGCTGTGTCACCTAACCCACATTTATAAAAGGATTCGTCAAGATAGTATAGCGCAGCAATAGTCGTCCTCCGGAAAAGATTACACGACACGAAAATTCGCAATGAGCACCCCCATGGAAATCGATCAACCTTCTGGCTCGAAGGCTAGTGGGAAGGCTAAAGATACTGGAAAGAAACGGTTTGAGGTGAAAAAGGTAAGGACACTCGATCAGGGTAATTTTTTTCTTTTTTTAAAAAAAAAAAGAAAACGTATGTCCAAACAAAAACGACAAGTATAGTTTACGGGAAATAAGTTTATCATAAGGTTTCCAAGTCATGCGTCTTTCTTTGCTACGATCTGCGAAAAATCCATATTGGTCGCACACTCAAAAAATTTTTAAATTATTTATCGCACTAATACGTGTATGTAGTGGAATGCCGTTGCATTATGGGCTTGGGGTGAGTTATCGACGGATATTGATTAGATCACTCTCTTTAAAAGTATCATCTTCTTCTTTGAATTCGAAGGCGAGAATGAAATCCTTTTTATTTTTTTTTTCCAGACATAGTGGTAGATAATTGCGCAATTTGCCGAAATCATATCATGGATTTATGTGAGTTTGTAACGATTTTTAGCAACGATTCCGTGATATTTATTGAGCCCGTACATTATTCATATTTCGTAGGCATCGAATGTCAAGCGAATCAAGCCTCTGCGACTAGTGAGGAATGCACAGTGTGAGTCACGGTTATCCATGTGATGGATTCGTTCTCACGCTGGCGCTAAAAAAATTAACGTTGTTAAACTTTAATCTTTTTAGAGCTTGGGGAATTTGTAATCATGCCTTTCATTTCCATTGCATTTCCCGTTGGCTAAAGACTCGACAAGTTTGTCCATTAGACAACAGAGAATGGGAATTTCAAAAGTATGATTTATTATTACACTTTCATTGCGATTCTTTCAAGTTCGAATTCATCTCTTTGACGTTAATGCCGACTTCACTTTAATCATTCATAGATATGGTCGGTAGGCAATCAACTACCGCGGACAAAACATACAACAAAGTAGGGCATCTTAAAATGCCATTCATTGCATTCTTTCTTTCGTTTCCGTAGCACTCGTCACTTCTTGATAATATTTCATATCATATCATAAATAAGACATCGGATCAATGATGAATTAACGATTTAGAAAAGTTTTTTTTTTTTTTGTTTATACAAAACTATTTCACTTTTAGAAAAGTTTTTTTTTTTTTAATGAAAATGATGTGAAAAATGAAAGCTATTAATTATACTAGATCTGTTTTTGAAAAAAACTTTTATGGAATAAATTTCTTCGGTGCAAAAATATAAAAAATGCGACACAAAATGATTTTTCTTACTCAATTCACAATTAGGATAAAGGTTATAGTTTAATCTATACTTAACCATGTATCGAACATCGTACGCAATTCTAAAGCTTTTTAGAGAGAACGGAATTGAGGGAGAATAGAAAAAAAGAAAATCACAGTGTTAATAAGATTGAATGAAATCAAACATGAGATTTCTGAGTGTTCGATAACCCCTAAAAACCATGTTCAGAAGGTGTCCTAAATGTCCGTCATGAGTAATGTCGGAAAGTGAAGAAATTCATATAATTTATCATCATGATGATTTTTTTGTTTACATAGGGATGATATTTGACGACGTGATAATGAAAAACAGTCTGTTAAAGAATTATTCACCTTTGACGAGTGTTCTGGATGAGTTATTTTCAGAAAACTGTTAAAAATACCTCAGTATGTGTTTATATATATATGATTTCGTGCAATCATGAGAATAGATTATCAAGATAACATCCCATATGCTTGTGTCACCAGCAGGGAAAATGTTACTTTCACGCGTTATACGTGCGTTGGAAAAAATAGCACCTTTATCGCTCGCCGAGAGTTCGTGGGATAATGTAGGCCTACTCGTAGAACCACCGTACCCCCAAATTTCTGCTTCTCGCATTTTCCTTACTGTAGACTTAACACCAACCGTGTTGGAAGAAGCTCTTTCGGACGAAAAAGTTGGGGTAATTGTGGCGTATCATCCCCCAATATTTCGACCGTTTAAGAGGTTAAACATGAGTGACGTTAAGCAAGCTATCACAATGAAGTGTGTCGCTCGAGGAATCGGGGTGTTTAGTCCGCATACTGCCGTTGATTCGGCCGAGAATGGAGGTATGAAATATGGCCGGTGTGAATAGCGAAAGTGGTGGATGATATTTTAAGATTTTTTTGTTCTACGGAAGTGAATGATTGGCTTGCCAGAGGCCTCGGATCCGGCTTTTCTCGAACAATAGTACCGGCGGAGAATCCACCTCCAGGTTCGTTCCATTCTTGCAAATCTTGGGGAAAAGCAACACACGGAAATCATGATTCGATCGATTTGTCTAGGGCAAGAAAGAGCTGGCATGGGTCGAATATTTACTTTTCATCAGGCTGTTCCATTGTCAACCGTGATCGACCGCGTAAAGAGGCATTTGAAACTTCCTTATGGTATTACAGTCATCTATTAACACCAAGAGACCCGCAAAATGTGTTATTCATGAATATATATATATATATATATATTTTTTTTTTTAAAAAAAAAGTCAGAGTTGCTACAGCCGAGAAACACAAATCAACCTCGGATGAATTAATCTCAACGGTTGGAATTTGTGCTGGTGCAGGTAGCAATCTATAGTCGTTGCATATCCATTATGATTATGATTAATAGAATTTCTCTCCTCTGGACTTCATTCAGGCTCGTCTGTACTTAAGTCTGCCGAGGTTGATCTTTATTTTACGGGGGAAATGTCACATCATGATGTGCTTGCTGCGCTGGCCAAAGATACCAGTGTCATCTTGTGTAAGTGGACCCTATAGATTCAACCAGTTGTTATTTGGGATTCATTCTAATTTTACATGTAACCTCCTATAAACGCAGGCGAGCATTCGAATACGGAAAGGGGATATTTATCCGAGGTATTGAAACCATTGATTGAAAAAGAATTGAAGAATGATGGTACAAATGAGGTGTTTGAGGTAATGGTAAGTAAAATGGATAAGGACCCCTTGGAAATAATTTGATTGAGCTGTAAATGAGATTCTGAGGAAGTAAAGCGATGATTACCACAATAATGATTCTTGCAAACAGAATCTAATTCATTGCTTAATAAGTTATTTGTGGCTGGAAATAGACATTTATGAGAAATGAATTTGTTTAATGACATGCTACTCAGATTTGCTAAAATTCATAAATATTACATTGTACTTGGTGCTTCCGAATTAAGTTACATGCATATCCAATGAGAAGGGACATCGTCACCGTCAATAATTGATATGTCCGATCTTTTTGTCGAATTCCATCTTTCTACATGCAACATCCGCACATTCTTGGAAACAATCGATTATATTTCACATTCTTTACCTCGTGCTAAATCAAACTCTCCTTATAATCCAACTTCGCGCGATAATATCTTTCCCACTGTCATTTACATATTCGCTGCGCCTACGCAGTAACAATACCTCCCTATCCGATAAAAAAAAAAAAAGTATGGCAACCCTAACAACTCTACCCACCGAAATTCTCGAAGAGATTTTTTCACAACTCAGTTGGCAAGACTTAATTTCCTGTTTCTATCAGAATTCAAAGCTTTTTTGCATTGTAGCATCCTTCGTTTGGAAAGATTTAGGCGACGGATACTGGGGATATATCAAGAAGACGCCTTGGCGCTGGAAAATAATCAAACGAACCTTGTTATCAGATTCTGAAGACGACCTCGAGGAATTTGTTGGTATCGATGATGACGTTGTTGGTGGGGGTGTTGGTGCTGATGAGTTTTCAGAAACCAATTACTCGGACGAATCAAACTTAAATATCGCGTCGTTATCATCTTATTCGTCATCTTATTCATTAATTTTGGATACACCTTTCTTTGAGCGGAGTTCGAAAGGTGACGACGCTCCTCCTGTCAGATCCCCCGCTAAACGAATATCCAAAAGAAAGCGCCCAACCCTAAATTATTCTCGGTACATCCGGAGAGTTGACATATCCTCGGCGTTTGACGCCGACTTTAGAATCGATAAATCGCTTATGGGATACTTATTCGCGAATTGCAAAAATCTTGTTGAAATCGCCTTGGAATATCACAAGGAATCTTTACTTGATGAGCCATTTTTAACATTAGAAGAGCTACATCTTTACGTTGATGATAATGAAGACAATGTCACCGCTCAACAACATCAATCCAACAAGATTCTTGCGCCAATTCGTAGACTAACAATGAAACTTTACAATGTGTCGCCGGAACCTCTAATCTCCCTACTCTCCTCACGTTTCACCACCTTACAAGAAATCTCATTGCACGTAATCTTTGAACTGACGCCCATACCCATGGAGAATCTAAGAAAATTGGTGAAAAACAACACGGAATTTAAAAAATTAATGTTGTACACGATTCAGGGTAAGCGAACGTTTGTCGGTAAAGTGCTGGAGGAGTTTAAAAATGGTGGTGAATTGCCGGAGTTAGAATGCTGGTGGATTCCGGATTTGGTTTGACTTTATCATCATTGATGTCAGTAATTAACATTCGGTAAAATTATATGGGTCAAAAGGGAATTATCTTTTTTAGATTTAAAGAATCCAGATCATAATTTTCATAGAATTTACTACCAATTCGCAGATATTTGGATTCATCACTTTCTTTATTCAAATTTACAAGTACATGTCTCTTTTTTTCATCCAACGCCTTTTCTTAATCAGCATCAAACAAATAAAAATTATTTTTAATGATAATGTTATCGCCTTCACGTGCCAAAATATTTTGCCACGCACCAACACATTTAACCAAGTGTTAGCAGATTGTTGGTATGTCCTGGTGTCATCTCACCTACAACGATATTTTCCCCTTATAGTTTTTACCGTCACGGTAAACATTTCTTTCTTTCTTTCTTTTTTTTTTAACTTGACGTGCCCGTTGCATCTTCCTCAATATCTTGATAATATCTGCTGGTATCGGTTCCGTGTCTGTTGTGGTTGACAAAGTTGAATACCGGAAAGTTTGCTGTGATGATGAACGAAAGGTGAATTAAAGCCGAACGCACGGAACAAAGCTGCAGTGCGAATCAATGATGCATACCAAAATTCAGGGCAGCGTATTTTGAAAAAGTAGACGCATAATTTTGAATGTGTTCTTCCAACATTGATTCGCCGTACAATGGTTTACCCTCTTTTACCCTTTGCCTCATCTCCTTTAAATCTTTTTGATACTCGCGGGCATTCTCGGTCCATCCCCAAAATCTGACTACGGTGATTATGGGTTGAGTGAATTGGTGTCGAGGTGATTGCGTGAATTCCGAATTTTCACCTTACGAAACAATAAGTACTTACAACTACTACGTTGATAGGCGAACAAGAATCCACCGGTGAAACTGAAACCAGCACAAATCTTTAAGACCAGACCCAGACGTCTTGTGGGAGGTTGGTTGGCTGTCTTTTCTTTGAAATCGTGAAAACAACAGAGATTAACCAATCGCTCGAGTTCCCCTCACCTCATTTCTCGCACCTACCAGTCATTTTGGTCAATTACCTAGGAATAAGTAAAACGCGGGTCCAAACCCGGTGATGGTGGCCCATGCCAAATAATCTGAAGGTCGAAAGTATCTAACTACACGATTAAAGTGTGGGTCGGTGTCAATTACGGGATATTCGGTCTTCAAGACTTGCGGTGGCATGACGATTCAATTGTAGATGAGACAATTATCATGGTGATAATTTTATGATGGGATTCGTTGTGTGACTGGGCACGTGATCAATCTGGTCCCGGTTCATTTTATTTGACCGCATCTTTAAGAATATGGTTAATACACGTTTCGACACGGTATCTTAATCGAAGAAAGAAGGAAAAAGGAGAGAGAGGGTTAATTCGGATTTAGTAGGTAAGTGGCAAGTCCTCTCGGTACAAGTTGTCAACATAACGAGCCGGTAAACAAAATTATAAAAAAAAAAAAGAAAAATCATAATAATAATAAAATTTAAAATTATCATATACTGTATAAGTTTTAAATAAGTTCTTATGTACAAAAAAAGTTTTCGCTATTTTTACACTGTTGAAAATTTCCCCACCGCTATTACCTACTATGCATGCATATATATAATTGTAAAATGAGAATAAATTTGTTAAGTGATCTCGAGGGACCTAAACTTTGACCGGACGATGATGTGCGTGCGGGTCGTACTCCTTGGAACTGAGGCTTCCGGCCGACAGACTTAAAGAGGGAATAACACGCCTGCGTTTGTTTTTGTAGGCAGTTTCAAGTTCCGTGGCATAGCGCGAAGCGACACCACCGAAAAATACCTGGGTACAACGTTTTTTCTTGAGCTAATCGATGAATAACCACCGATGAAAGTTCAATTTCTCCAAGTAGAATCACGAACCTCGAATAGTATGAGAATTCCTGCTAGAACAGCATTACGTATGATTCTCCAATTTTCTACATCCTCGCAGTAGTCATTAACCGAACTCGTTGTTGTTGCACTGCTTGAATTGGTTTGTGCCGTGGTACATCTAGTAATCGCCGTCTGTTTACTTTGAACTTGGTTGACGACGAGGATGATGGTCATGATAACATAAACAATGATGAAAATGAGTACCATCCTAGAGAATATGCGAACCGCGCCTGCAGCACCCTTTAAGAAAGGGAAAATCGAAGAGAGTAAATTAATCGGTTGTGTTGAACGGAGAATCCTCGACGATCACTTACGAAGAGTGAACCAATAATTCCAAACAAAGACAACAGTGCCATGGTAATGAAAGTAATACCGAAAATTAGTGTGAGGATCCTTGACAAATCGGGTGCGTACTCTGGAGAGGATGATTGTGGTTCGAGATTTTGTGATCGCGTGTCGTGCTTCTCGAGTTCGAGAAAGTATTAAAAAAAAAAAAAAAAGGAAGAAAACATACCCTCTGGTTTTGCTAGGAATGCTACCGCGCCACTTATTGAAAAAAACTGGGCAAATTAAGGGAAGGAGGGTTATATGTTCAGACCAATGGATTCATTCCTCGACCGAAAAAGATTCACCTCACCTACCACACTGATGGCGGAAAGGGTGACAGTTGCCGATCGCAGGGGAACACTGGAGTTAAAAGTTTGTTGCGTCAACAAATTTTGATCGATTCATCTTTTGACTTCAACCAAGACCCATGAGGTATTGTCGTATTTGGTCACGTGGACACGAACAAGGTACACATACCAGAAACAACACCGTTGAGTCATGTCGACCTTTTCTTTGCAAACGAAAGTAAGGCTGTCGATGTATGAAGATGTTCGGCGGTTAGGCAAAAACACTAAGAAAGGGATTATCATAAGAGTCCAGAATTTTTTTCACTATTAAAGGTTTAAGGAGGCTTAGGTATTATGTTTCTTGAAGTTAACTGGTGTGTTGTAACACCGTTTTTCACAAAGGTGATATCAAAAATGGAATAAAGTAGGCTTTGCTTGAATATAATTTTATTCGTGGCTATGTATTTTTTGATCTTCGGAAGAACCAGGTGGCTCAAGCCAGATCTTCGTCCGGATCGAATTTATTCGATGCTTTTTTAACATTCGTTTTTGATGATGGGACTCAATAAAAACAGAGATCACAAATGATGAAAACGAAAAAAAGACAAAAAGGGATGAAAATAGCAATCGTGGATTAAGTAAGTTTCATTCCTGGTGCCGTCGCTTTCCGCGTCGTATTCGAAAAAAAATCAAAGATGTGAACCGACAACGTCACGCAATAAACGGGGACAGCATTTCCATATTGGAAGCGTACAAGCGGACCGCGGGGCGATAGCATTTTGGTCGATAAAAATTCCCTGGCTCATAGTCATGTACCTCTCCCACGATTAATATTCTTCTCTCTTTCCTTGGTATTCGGAAATCCAATATTCAATTTTTCGCCTCTAAGCCTTTCAACAATCTGGCGACCAAGCCAAAAATGGAGATTTAATGACAAATTCTCAGCCAAAAAACGTGTGCAATGAAGAAAAATGTGGCACGAGAAGAGTATCGAGAACCTTTTCCAGGTTCCGTGCTTTGGAAGAGAAAAAGAATGTCTATATTTGAGATTACTAAATCTATATCTCGTGGTGGACATAATTAGAATTACATGTATGAATTGAATTTTGAATGTTTTTTTTTTTTTTCTTTGTCAATTACCTAACACCCATCACAATCATCATCACCAAGAATGCTGCATAGCCTCGATTGATAGATGTCACATAGAAAATATGAAAAAAAAACGAATGTTTTTAAGCCACAATATTTAGCGCTTCAGCTTCGCCTGGTAATCCTTTCATTAAGAGTAATTCTCGTGTATTAAGTGAAATTATTAAAATATGTAATGGTAAGCAAAAAATAATAATATATATACGCATATATATATATATATAATAAAATAGTAAGGATAAATAATGAGAGTGTGCAATTCACTATTTTCTAGACACCGAGTATTTTTGTTAGTACAATGTATCGTTCTCTCCTAGATCGTGAAGATTTCCCTTGCTCGTAATGAATTTTCTTATTATGTCGTTGACCTTTTCGGGGACTTCTTGTTGGACAAAGTGACCTGCCTCAGGTATCGACACGATCTTAAGATTAGAAACGTAACTTCCTAGATTATCTAAATTCATTTGCATTTGTAATGCTTGGTCTTTCTCTCCCTGTGATTTTGAAATAATAAAAAAAGGGTGAGTGAGCAAAGTGCGCATCGATTATTATTCTTCTTTAAACCACTTCGCCGCTTTTATTAAGATCACCTACCCAAATGACTAATGTGGGAATCCCCACGAACCCAATTTGCTTTACGCCTCTGTCCTTTTGTTCATTGTATAGACCCATGATCGCATTACCTCGATAGTAATTAAGGCCACCGGTGACGCTGGAGAAGTTGTCAGCAGAGAATGTCGCTTTATATTTTTCGAGATCTTCGGTCGTTACGTTTCCTCCGGGTATCTTCCCAATGGTGAAATCAAGGAATCTTAAATCCCCGCACGTCATCCATTTTTCGGCAACATACCTCAGCTGGAACACGCTTATGTAGAAGCTCATCAGGAATTGTTGGAAGCATGGCTTCACGTGTTCCCATGAGTGATGAACAGTCTCTCGAGGGTTGCTGACCAAAGATTTCAAATTTCCGAAGCGAACCAGATCAAGGAATCTTCGAATAAAGTTATCTCTCCAGACCAAAGTGTGCGGTGCATTCAAGATGATGAGACGTTCGATGTATCCCGATTTATCGGCGTGATCCAATTCCCAGCTTTGCGCAGCAGCTTGCCATGACAACACACCGCCCCTACATAATTGAACGAAGTCAAGTCAATTACTCGTTCGAGATTCTTCAGTGATGGAGTGTGCGTGTGTGTGTGTATTGTGCTCACCAATCGTGACCGATTACACACGCGGCACGCCCATTAGGTGACAATTCTTGTATGAATCCACGGATATCTCCCAACAGCAAGTCATAATTATATTCGCTTACTTCTCGTGGCCTATAGCTGCCTCCGTATCCACGCTAGACGGATCATTTTTCTCGGGTAAGTATATATCTCGAGACACAAAAAGGAATGCATTTTTTATAGAAAAGAAAGGAGTGTTTGTGATTACCATGTCTACGGCCACCAAGTGATAGTCCATTTCCCTTAGACCCTCTAGTTGGTGTCTCCAGCTGTACCAATACTACGGTTCAATGAGGAAAAAGAGAAATGCACGTGCACACGATGTTTAGGCGAATGTTGATGACGACGACTCATGCGAAACAGACACATACCTCGGGAAAACCGTGAATAAATAGAACCAATGGACCATTGACATTGCCCGCTTCGACGTAATGGAATGTGCATCCGTCGATAACAAGTGTTTTATGTTTTCCATAGTAAGGATCTTGGGTATACAAATTCTCCAAGACTGTAATTAATTAATGAAAATTTCTTAGCTGCTGAAATGCAATTGCATGGCTTAAAAATTCGGAACTAAAAACATTACCGTCAGATCTATCTTTGAACTTCTTAATTTCCCCTCTCAACCAACTCTTCAAAAGTGGTAATCCGACAAAGAGTATTCCGGAAAAAGCCGCGTAGGTGTAAATAAGAATATTTAGCACGAGGTTTTCAATTCCTTTTATCATTTTTGAAGACATGGATTTGTTCATGTTCTTGTTGTTCGGGGATAAGGAAAGAATTATTGCGCAAAAGCAAAAAAGTGCGAAGAGAATAGCAAACATTGTATATATTTATGTAAAAGAGTAATCAATTTCCGGTTACGTTTGAACATGTTGTTCCCACATGGATTTATTTGAAATCCTCGTTGTGAATTCGTATACCAACCAAAATTCTGCGAGGATGATTTAGGTTAAGTTGAATAAATTATATAATCCATCAAAGATCATTTTGGCATGTATGAATTGACATGTGAAAACCTTTTAATGGAATATTCCCGCGCCAAAACAATGCTAGTGGAATATTGAAGCTGTGGTTAAAGAGGAATCAGGTTTTTTCTTTGTCCTAAATTCTTGATTAGCCCAAGATTTCTTTATTTCCTCGTGATAATTTGACTCCGATTTCCTCAATTCCGAAATGAAGCTTCATTAAACTATTTCGGCTGACTGTCGACTGTTCAATAAACTTTAAATTATACTCGCTTTCAAGCAGAAACATGTGATTTACACAACATTCTAGCTATCTTCGTATGCCCTATTTGTTTTCTTACAGGTAACGATTGTCCATTCTACAATTTCGACTAAAAAACATAATATCACCCATTTAAAGCATGCGAAAAATTTCGGGCAGAATTAAGAATGAACCGTTGCAATTCATACAAATGAGGTGAGGTTATGCATCAGGTGACCTTTGACGATTCATATGAATATATTGTGAATTCCCTTTATGGTAATTAGGTTTCTCCAATTACCCCAAACATTGATCAAAACCAATGTCTATCCGATTACTTTATTGCTAACAATTAATTAATATATGATTACAAATTATCCATTCGCAAATCCTCAACTTAATTTTTATTATTCGGATTTTTAAAATGATTTCTTTCAAGGTTTGGCCGTTTGTCTGGTTCGGACGTAATTTTTCTAGATCAAAGTAATATAATAAATTAGATGGAAGATTTTGTGACAGTGTCAGGTGACTTGACATTGAATGCATCGTCTTTGGAGAATGCCATCACGAATGTCTAACTGCCGCAATGACAATCCAGTTTCGTTTTCGCAAAACATGTCGGTACCTCATACGAATATGTACCTCCGTTCGTTTGACGAATTGCGTGACGCGGCGTATTCTATTTTCGGCCTTCCATCGGGAGTACGATGTCTCACATTATAGTACGGTTATTACGGGTGCGACTGGTGTTGGTAAGTCGCACTATGTCTTCGAAAATCATCTTTGATTCGATAAATGCTCTGGTCAGCGTGTGTTTCACATCGATAAGATTAAGGATTCCGTCCGTCCCTTATCCTAATATTTATGATATTGGTGAGTTATCGAGAAGGGCAGTGATCATGTTATGCGTAAATGTGGGGGTGATTGTGTCAGTCTTGAAGATTCCTGTAGAGAATTCGATCTGATTTTCATTCAAAATATAATAGCCAAAATAGTTGATAGGATCAGGAGTGTTCAGTGCAACGAAATTCGTTTAATAACTTCTTTAATGATATCGAAATCAAAAAGATAATTGTTTAATGGTCGGTATAAAAAGATCCTAAAAGGATGTTTATTAGTATGTTTTGTTATCATTGATTATACACATACAAAACTTATTAGCGTAATTAATTAAACTTATCTTTTATATACAGTATATATGGTATATAATTCACAGGTGAACTAGTGTGAATTACCCATTGCTTTATTTTTTACCTTAAAATTCCATTAATTTATTTTAATTCCTATTCATGATAGATGGTCTCACCAGTTGAATTGTATCTTTTTGATAATCATATTATTGAAAAATGTTATTAAATTTATTAATAAAAATTTATGCCAAATTGTTGTCATTTTGCAAAGTAAAATAAAATTATCGCGAAAAATCATAATGCCAGCTGAAATTATAAATCTTAAATTTTACTGGAATTATAATATCAGCCGAAATTACAAATTTAATGTCAGCCGGAATTACAAATATTAATTTTACTGAAATTATAAATCTAATGTTGATCGGAATTATAGCTTACAGTGTGATTTGTACATAGGTAAGTAACCAAATTTAGATAGAAACAAGCCACCAAAATTTACATGCAAGAAAGTGAATTTTCAACGAACATATCTGTGAATTCTTGATCTCTTGGCTCTTCTCTCGTGATATACACTACTGGTCATAAGTAACTGATCTCTCCTATTTCCTAAACCGGTAAGTCAATTTAAAAAATTTTTTTTTAAAAAAAAACTTCACCACTAACATTTATTCTCAATAATCATATAGTTCCTCTCAGATTCTATTAAAGCTTCTACACAATGATGCATGCTACTTGTCAATTTAGCAACAAATTCAGATAAAAATTGTTTTTATTCTTTTTTAATTAACATTTTTAATCATCTTATTGACCCAATTTAATTTTTGAAATATTTAATTTCATTACTTGTCACATATTTTCTATAGGATTTTGGTCAGGTAACATTAATGGTTATGGAAATACCTTAATACCTTCTTTCTTCTTCCAATTTTTCATGATTTTTGATAAGTGCTTTGGATTATTATCTTCTTATAGGAACCATTCTAAGTTATCTGTATCAAAAAATTTAATAGAGAAAGATAAGAGGTTCCTTTTATATATTTTAACTATAAAATTCGAATTAAGATTCTACTGGAAGCATACTAACTTCCCAAATCCCAAAGTCAAAAAACACCCTCATACATAAACCTTTAATGAGTACTTGACAGTATAGTATTTTTTTTTTTTCTTTAAACTGTCAAACTTTTTTTTGTGATAGAAATAGTTGAAAGGTACTCTCCTTTGAAAAATAATCAAATTCCAATTAAAATTTATATGTCTTTTTGCCCACTGAAACCATCGATCTCAATGATTATTGGTAAGAAGAGGTTTTGAAATTTTATTTACATACTTGTCTCCAACTTCACTAATATGTCATTTAATAGTTCTTATATCAATACTTATACCATTTCTCTCTATAATTTCTTGTATTTCAGAACTTGTTATATTGTGATTTGTCTTTACCATCTTAACAATTTACTTATCTTGTTTTATTATCATACTGTGTATCTGATCAATCTTTTGCTTATCAGATAAACCTTTCGAAATCCATTATCTTTGAATCCAGTAAATAACTGTAAACTTAGAGCAGCCAATATAAGCTACTATTTTTGAAAAACTTAGATTTTGTATTATCGGGTATTCATATAAAAACACAATTTTGTATTGCTTATGAAGTGAAAGAACCATAATTTTAATACAATATTTGTCAATTATCTAATGCTAGAATTAGAAGTCACACAAACTTAAAAATATACGAACGATTAAGATTTGTATTACTCTTAATTTCCTGAAATTTTGAGAAACATTATTAAAAATATATATATATATATATTGGATTGATTACTTATAATTAATAGTATAAATCGAAATTAGAATGATCATTACCTCTCTAAAAAATTAACATTAATTGATATTATCTTATTGTAAAAAGTGTGGATGCAACATGAAAAAAAAACATATGTCATAATGAAGATACCAACTTTAATAATATACTACAACATCAAAAAGCTAAAAAATATTAGAAACATAACCTACCTAAAAGGAGCTGGTTGTCTATAGACATTTTTAAATAAAATATTACAAAAAATCAGATGCTATGTGAAAAAAACACCTTCAATATCTACTAAAACTATAGTGGTAAAATTAAATGGAGCAGTATTTCAGTCAACTATTATATGAATTTTAAAAACCCTCAGTTATAAAAATAATATTCTTAGATCAGCACCAATGCTTATTGAGGCACAAAGAGTAAAATGGTTGGAGTGGATCAAAAAACACCTAAATGACAACTAGAACAAAACTTTTTTTATTAACAAAACTACATTTCAGTTCTTTTGTAATACTGTTGGCAGTAGTATAAGGAGAAAAGACCAATTCACAGGATTCCTAAAAATAAAAAAAAAATATTGGTATGGAAAAGGTTTTCTAAAAGAGGTAAGGTCAAACTAATTTATTTTATGAAAATAATGAATACTGAATTCTATATTAACATACTAAAAAAAAGAATACTGAAGATCAAAAGTTTGATGGAGAAAAGGTGGTGACTCCAATAAGATAATAATCTCAAACATACAAACTTTTTAGTGAAATCATATTTTGAATCATATGTTCCTAAAGTTCTTGAGTAACTATTCAATAGCTTGGATTTAAATCTAATTGAAAACTTATAGAACATAGTAAAAACAAATGTGAAGAAAAGAATATCACAAAATTTAGACAAATTAGAATCATTTATAAACCAGAAACAGAAAGAAATTCTGAAAACTACACTAATAAATATGATTAAATCTATGTGAAACAGGTGTAAGCTAATAATAAAAAATAATAGTAACTATATTGATTATTAAAAAAAATTTTTTTAAAAATCTATAAATTCTTATCTTTTAAATAAGCAGTTGATAGTTATGATTAATGCAATGACTGTAAAGTTTAATAATAATAAACTTATTCAAAAAATTATAACTTACGCTATATATTAAAAGTTTGACAAACTTACTAATTCAATTATCAAACTTGTTATATGATTAAAGTCTGGCAAACTCTATTTATCCCTAGAACTTTTCAAGGAACAACTATATCATTGATATAAAATGAATTTGTTTAAAACTTCAAATTTACTTTAATTAAATCTTTTTTTAAAAAAAAAAACTTAACAATAGTGATCACAATAGATCAAATTGAATCAGATTTTAACTAGATTTGATTCAATCCAATTTTTATAAATACAAATTAGATATGGATCTGATTTATTTTAAGTTGATCTAATTAGATTCAAAACTATAACAGTTTGATATTATTCGATTTGATTTAATACAAAAACAATTTGAAATCAATTTGATATATTTTGAACCTATTTTAAAACATGTTCAATTATAACTGTTTTGATTTAACTAAATTAATTTAAATATATTTAAATTAATTTGGCTTTATTTTAA